CGTTCACGGTCCCTCTCTTTGTCGTGGTCTCGCTCGCGTTCGTGTTCTCTGGTGCGGTCGCGGCCCCTGTCTCTCTCGCGCTCCCTCTCGCGGCTGCGGCGGTTTCCATTCATCTCCCTCCTGAAGTCAAAATCTCTTTCATCTCTATCTCTTTGCCTGTCCCATGGGCGTCTTCTTTCATCTAGGTCTTGATGGAGCTCGCTCTCAAAAGGAGCTGCGACGTTACCGCTACGATTCCAAGCCTGTGGCCCCCCAACAGCTCCGGCATTTACAGAAACACCGGCTGCTGTCCCGGGACGGTTATCAAAGCGGCTGGGGAAGTTCTGCCCAGGTGTGGGACCAGCCTCCGGGAAGCCCTTTGGACCACCTGGGGCCTGGGGGCCTCCTCGCATGCCGTCACGTTCATCAAAGTCCCCTCTGGCTTGGTTCCAGCGGTTATCGGGTGTAAACCCTGCAAGAGCCTGCAGACGGCCTACGAGGCTAGATCTGGCTGGCTGAGTACCTGGGGTCTGGAGCAAAGGTGGTCTCACGCCTGCTCCTGATCCTGCAAGGGGCTCCCTATGCTCTGGGGGAGGCGTCCGCAGCAGACCCGTGCTCTGCTTTTCCATCGGAGGAAAGCGGTAGTCCTGGTCTTTGCCCTCGTCGGCTCCGGAGGACGACTCATCTTCTGTTTTGGATACATTTTCACTGGTTATGTTGGGGGGCCGGTGGAAGGGGTCCAGCTGAGGGAAGGGAGCCCTGGGGCGGGATTGAGCTTGGATTGGACCGTCTAGGAGGCCGGGGGTTTGCTGGGCATGGGCCTGCTGCATGAGCAGCGGGAAGCGAGCAGCGGCTCCGGGTTGGAGCAGGTTGGGGCGCACATCCAAAGGCAGCAGGCCGGGCATCCTCTGCCCACTCAGTCCAGACTGATGCAGGGGGTGGGTGAGGGAAGCTGTAGGGTGCATGCCCAGCAGACCCATTCCACTGCGGACAGCGTTCTGCATGCCTGCAGACGAACACAAGTGCAGACAGAATTGTTAAAAAAAGGAGACATAAAAATGAATACTAGAAATAAAACTAGTCAAACACAGTAACGATGTGTCACCTTGCAGCGTGAGCTCTGCAGTAGCATCCATGCCCTCTGCAGACTGTGTTTTCTCATTAGCGGCCTGCTGAGTTTGCACTCCCACTGGGTTGAACACGCCAGCTCCTGGGATAGCCGAGGGCATGAAGCTACCCGGGATGGTGCTTGTTGGAGGAATCATAGCAGCGAACGGTGAATCCTTGACAGCATCTTGGCCGGAGCCCACTGAAGGCTGGACCAGAGCTACAGGTAAAAAAACAAAACAAAAACATATTTAAACCTGACGGTCTAATAGGGAGCTCCACTTTCAACCTCACATCCATGTACTGGTGATAGGTGAAGCATATAGATACTCACAGGCAGATGCGGAGGCCATCCCTGCTGTCTGAGCAGCCTGCATGAAACCTGGACAAGAAAGAATCGTTTGTGTAAGCTGGTCGATTTTTCTCGGCCTCATCTTTTTACAACACGTGCATCATTTACCTGGCGGAGGCTGTGAGGCATTGAAGCTGGCCCTTATGAAGGGTGGCGGCGGCCCATAGCCTGGCGGAGGTATGCCCATGGTGACAGGGAAGGCAGGAGGCACCAAACCGACCGCGCTGGGAACCGCCTGTGCAACCGGAAGCTGAATATGAGGGATATAAGACTGTGTAAACAAAACGCTGTTAAAAGAAAAATAGTGTAACCTCCCAAGTTTTATGATACACAAATCCCTTAACACATCTCAGCGACTCAAAGTTTCTTAATGGTTTACAACAGTGCGCCGTAACTAATCAGAATCATGGTGGTGTACTGCTTTTACAGTTACAGGCAGACTGTACCTGCACTGGCATCATGGTAACCTGCTGGTTGAAGGTCTCGGTTTGGGTGTTGGATGCTGCTGTAGTCTCAGTGCTCACTGGCTGACTTGCAGCTTCCTTGGCTTGTTCAGTATTCTTGGCAGCTTCCCACTCTGCAGACACAGACCAAAAAAAAAATGTTAACAAATACTGTTCAATTATTTGTTTGGATTAAGGAGTTCAGTTTTTCTTTCCAACTCAATCTGATTCCTCACCGAGTTTTCCAGTGGATAATAAATAAAGGGAACGGGGCAGAGAGTAAATTCACTTAGATGATGAAATGCCAAGATTTGTCTGCCTGGATAACTGTTTTGTTTTCATCATTTGTGCACAAACTCGCATGTTTGTCCTGCTTTTATTTCAACAAACACCGCCACAGAATTAACAGAGTCTGTGCCAAAGAAAGGCTCCTTTCCTCTTACCGTCATTGACGGTCTCCTGGTCGATGATTCCTCCTTCGGCGAAGCCATCCAGGTCATCCAGCTTCACCTTCTCCCAAGGTATGTACGTGACACCCAGGTCCACATCCCAAAACTGCTTGTACTCCTGCTTTACACCTTTGTTCAGAGCCCACGCAATCTGGATCAAAGACGCACAAAAGGTCAAGATAACAGATTATTATTAGGGATGCAACGATACCAATTTTTACAAACCGATACGATACCGATACTTGGATCTGAGTACTTGCCGATACAGAGTACAAAAACCGATACTTCTACCACACACACACATGCAATGAATTGGAAGACAGGTTTTATTTTATTATCTGCCAATAATAAATAATATCTTAATAAAAATGGCCACAAAAAAATTTCAAGTGAAAAATAAGCACTTCTGTTAAATTATTGCAGAGTCTCCACATTGTAATTTAACAGAATATCACTGAACTATTGGCACTGTCTCTAGGGGATGTCCCCCTAGTGGCCAATCTAAAAAAAACTACAACAAAAATGACAAGCCACCCTCTGATTTATGAAATAAGTTGGTATCGGTTAACCTTTACGAGTATGAGTACACACACATTTTACAGTATCGGCCCCGATACCCGATACCAGTATCGGTATCGGTGCATCCCTAATTATTATTATTGTTTTTTAATAGTAGCTTCTTGTAATATACAACCATGTGCACCTAAATCTAAAGCTTCACCGTGTAGAACGAACAAAGAACACAATGGAATAAACTGTAAAGGTAATGTGGACCTTGATGATTTTGGAGCCGATCTTAAACGTGCCGGTGCTGAGCTTCTGACGGGCACGGTAAGCATCCTGCCTGTGGACCATACAGATGTAGGCACAACCTCTGGGAGGGATCATCTGCAGAGAGACATGAGGACAGGGGAGGTTAAAGAGAGCAAAAGCGGAGAATACTGGCAGATTTGTGTGTCTGGTGAAAGAAAGACACACGGGACAGATCATTAGGAACAGCTACAGTAATGACAGGCTGGGGCTCCGTCGTTACGTTTCTTGTTAAGAGATCAAAACTACACCCTGCAACCAAATTAGAGGGTAAAGGAGGGAGAGGTCTGCTTACATTGATGGATTCAATCTGGCCAAACTCTTCAAACAGATTGGTGAGGTCTTGCTGAGTGGCCTTTTTATCCACCTGGCCCACCCACAGAGTTGTGCTGCACACTAGGTAACGAGATGGGAAAAATAATGTGACTTTTACTCAACAGGAAAAAAAAAGGTTTGCAGGTGGTAAACTTGAAATATTTAACAGAACAGAACAATGACTTCCTCTTACCACTGAGAGTCTTGGACCGTATGGGAGGAAGTCCTTTCTTTTGCCGCTCCTTCTCTCGTTCTCGGGCGCGTCTCTCACTAGAATAAGACCGCGAGGACTTCCTCTTGCGATCTCTAGAGCGTGACCGCGACCGTTTTCGATGCTTGCGTTTCCGTGAGCCGGAGCGCGACCTAGACCTCCTCCTCTTTGGAGATCTGAGGAGAGACGACGCCAAACCTTTTGGGAATTCTGTCCAGACTGACTTTTTGTCATGCTAACATTAAACCCTGAGCCTGCTCCTTTTAAACATCAAACCCAGGCATCAAAAGTCAAACCAACCTGGAGCGTGACCTTGACCTTGTTCTAGACCGTGTGTTCAAGGTCTTCTTCTCTTCAGCCTCAAAGATCTCCTCTTCCATCCCATCCGGGCCTTCGTCTAGATCCATGTCCTAGAAAACCCCATGGGTAGTTTCAGGTAAAGCCCATCTCTAGAGCTAACTAATCATTTAATGCAGTCCTGCTTTTAGACATGCATTTCTTTCCAAATATTAAGTGCATACACCAACCTCTAAGTTAGTGTAAAGTTGCAGTAATGGCCCACGGGCATACCTGCTGCTGGTTGTCTATGGAGTCGTCGATCTTATTGTCTGGCTCTGGAAGCTGAGGCTGGCTGCTGCTCTGAGCATTCGAAACTGAGTTCTCTTGCCCAAAGATCGAGTCCTGCCCTTCTATGCTCATTGCCTGCAAAAACATGCAGAATGCAAGTTGTAGCAAATCATAAATGCAGAACAAACAGGCCGCTCTCTGTATGCGTGCTCTACCTTCTGCTGATGCTCCAGCAGCTGCTTCTGAAACTGCTCCAGGTTTTGCTGTTGAAGTTGCTCAGCCAACTGATGGAAGAGGGAGCTGTTAATGGGCTCCGACACCATGGGCCTGGAAGCAGCCAGCAGCGTGATTAGACACAAACTCTCAGGTGGAAACAGCAGAATCACTATTAACCCCTTAAAACCGGCCTATATGAGCCTATACTGGTGTTTTTAAAAGTTATGTTTGACTTTATGACTTTCTGTGTCGTTTCTGGGATGCTTAGGACTCATATTGCACTGCTGGAAATAGTTTATTTTGATGCAGATGCTGCTTTTTTGCAAATTTGCATTATAATATTTATTTTCGTTTTTCCTGCAGTATATAAAAATTGGTGTATTTCAAAAATAAAACTATGAAGACACTCAAAATAAATTTCCTGTGGTGGGAAACTATTTTGTGCAACTTTTTTGTATTTACAGTTTTGAGGGATAAGCCTCTTAAATTTCTCTAACTAGAAATATATGTTAAAAAAACAAAAACGATTTTCAATTTTTTTGTAGTTTATTGCACTTTTTTGCAATTTATGTAATTACTATGCACTTAATGCAGACATATTATTAAAATTAAGGCTGTAATGGTTGTATTGATGTATAGCAACTTGAAATGCTCCCAAAAATGGCTCCACAGCATGTAAACATATAATATAAGCTCTTGGTGCTATGGTAGGTCTTAAAGGGTTAACAAAGGACTAAAACAAACGTCAAACACACTGAACTCACAGTTGAGATGTTGAGCTGTCCTTTTTAGATTCTTCGTTACGCTCTGAATCGTTCCCGAAGTCAAAAGGACCCAAAAGTTTCTGCAACAGAAACAAAATGTGAGTAGAAATAAAGAGAATTCAAATGAAGCAAGGATGCATGCCTCCAACAACATCCATGCACACAAGACCTTTGACTGTTTACACACAAAATTCCACTAACTTTGTGTTTTAACTCTTTTATAGATTTCTGTTTTATTTCTTTCTCGCTGGCCAATGAATTCGAGTTCTTACAAAAAAGAAGTGTTTTTTGTTTCAATGAATGCAAATGTTTTTGCATATATGTGCATATATACATGGAGCCAACTCAAAAACATAACGCCTCCAGCTCTGGCTGCCACAGAAGCATAAAAATAAACTCACAGCTGCTGACTGCTGCACTACCTTATTAAAAGAGGAGACCCTCTGCTCCAGGGGGTTGAGGCTGTTGGCAGTAGCTGCCGCAGTGAGCTGAGCTGTCAGAGCTTGCAACTGCACCACTAGGCCAGCATCCAAGGCCTGCAGCAGGGACGGCTGGGGCTTCTGCTGCTGCATCTGCAGACTCTGCACCAGCTGCTGGAGCTGTAACAGGCGACAACAAAGTAAGTTAAACGCCTTCTCACTCCGACAGCTACACATGCTGCTCTGATGTAAACACTTTTTGGGAGGATGTGTTCACTTACCTGTTGTCCCTGGGGACTCTGCAAGATCTGGGCCACGGCAGCCACAGTGTCGGTGTTGGTAATCTGCGAAGCCCAGTCAGGCAGACCCTGCACTATGTTGGCTGGAGTGGCCGGTGTAGCTGGGGTCCCTGGATACACAGAGACGATCACGAGGTTGCCGTGTTCAGATACGTTAAACACCACAGTAGCAGTGATTAGAAGAGCAAATCTGAACTTTAATGTGCTTCTACTGACCGGGTGTAGTGTTGTTGACCGGGGCAGCACTGCTGGGCATGACGGGTGTGACACTGGGAGGAGGAATCCCCGCCGCCATATCCAACAGAGGCTGGATGATGTCACTCTTGAAAACCGCATTCTTTTGCCACAGATTCAGGACTCTCACAATCTTACTCTGGAAGTTGGATGACACAAAATAAGACAAATTATTTACTCAAAAAACTTCTCTCAGACACATGACCTTTAAATATTTCTGTGACCGATCACACACGAGACATGCGTACTCATGCGCACTCAATCGAACGCCCTGTATGTCACAGTAATGTGCTGAGAAACCGAGGAATGAGAAGCCACAGAGAGGAACAGAAAACTATTAAAAACGGTCCAACCTTATCATCTGAAGGGCAGCGATAGAGGTGCTGGAACGTCGAGATGATATTCTTGCTGAAGCGCGGGGCAAATACGTCCTTCTCTGTGCCAAACTGGTGCCGGGACTGTCTGACGATCGAGTCGATGACATACAGCCCCGGGACTTTGTATTCTGGCTTGCACTGTCGAAGAAAGACAGCTGGTGTTGAGATATATGAACAGCAGAGCAACATACGGATATCTCTGCACCTGCCTGGATGTGGCTCGTGCTTCTAATAAAAGCATTAACTCACCTTCTGTATGAACTTCTCTACACTCTGGACAACATGCTTGTAGAACTGAAAGTAAAGCAAAGAGAAAAAAATATTTTGAGTGACTTGAGCAACAACATCGCAGAGCCCAGTAACAAAAGGGGAACAGCGAGAGACTGGATGGAGGCTCTTAAGTAAATCGTCTTATCTCCCCGTTCCTCAGATTTACAAATTAATGCCATGCACAAAAAAGAAAATAAATAAATAATTGCTTTTTTAAAGCTTAGTGCTGTTAAAGGAGGATACAACAGACATGACAGATGGAGACAGCATCATCACTTTTATGTGGATTTAAACAAGAATTCAAAAACTAAAAGGGCCAAATAATAATAAAAAACAATTATTTTACTATCTGCAACAGTGTGGCTGTTATTATTCATGTCTGTGAACAAACATCGCAATTACTGCCCGATATAAAGTCATGAAATTTAACAGCTTTGCAGACAAGATCAAAATTACAGCTGAGGACGGGAGTGACTCATGAATACAGATTAAACTGTAATGATCACACCAGCCTGCAGGTCACTCTGGAGTTAGACAACTAGTAGCACTACTAGTAAAACCCCAGTAGAGTAGATATTCATCTATAATTAAAATACAGGCAAAGTGACAAATTAAAGGAAACCCCTAAAGACTAAAAGAGCAGAGAAACAACAAATGCAGATGCTTTCACACAGTCCACCGTATGGAACAATGAGGCACTAACACACTGAGCAGGAAGACTCGATGGAAAGACAAACATCTCAGTGATTTCAGAGGTTCATCTTCTTCCAGCACAGACATGAACCATAAACAGCTCCACGTTCTATGACC